GTGGGGGTGGTGGGGGCGGCAGGGGCCTGATGCACCCCTGTGTGTCGGTTCAGGTTGAGCTTCAGCGACAGCGAGAGTGACAACAGCGCTGACTCCTCCCTGCCCAGCCGCGAGCCCCCACCCCCCCAGAAGCCACCCCCACCCAACAGCAAGGTGAGCCCGGGGCCCACAGGCAGGCAGGGGGTGCACAGGAGGCTGGGCTTAGCCCTGGGCCTGGCTGTCCTAGGAGGGTTTGCGGGGCCTTTGGGGCTGGGGCTGGGGCTGGTGTGGGCCGCAGCTCAGCGGAGACCTGGCTTCCCTGCAGGTGTCAGGCCGGAGGAGCCCTGAGTCCTGCAGCAAGCCCGAGAAGATCCTCAAGAAGGGCACCTACGACAAGGTGGGGGTGCTCAGGAGGGGCGGGTGGTGGGAGTTGCAGCCAGTGGAGGACCCCAGAACCCCCGAACACCCCACAGTCAGACTGTTCCTTGGCGGGAGCAGAGACAGTCCTTCCTCCTCTCCCGGCACGGCCTTGGAGCTAAGGGACTGCCCCTGCAGCCTTGGGCCTTCCTTGGGGTGAATGTGGCTACCTCTGTCCTGTGCTGGGATGGACTGGGTCATGGGTGGGGCTGGGCATGGGAGCAGGAAGGGCCCAGGGCCCCCCACACGCTGCTGAGACCCGCCCCGCTCTCCAGGCCTACACGGACGAGCTAGTGGAGCTACACCGGAGGCTGATGGCGCTGCGGGAGCGCAACGTGCTGCAGCAGGTATTGCCCCCCCGAGGGTCCTGCCTGGCTGAGGTCTGGGTGCCCGTGAGGAGTGTGGGCTGCAGGGGTCCCTAGTGCTGTCCCAGGAGCCCCATACCTCTCTTGGGGAACAGGGCAACCCCACCCTTGGCCTCCTGCCCCTGAAGCCACCTGCCACCACCTTACAGATTGTGAATCTGATCGAGGAGACCGGCCACTTCAACGTCACCAACACCACCTTCGACTTCGACCTCTTCTCCCTGGACGAGACCACCGTGCGCAAACTGCAGAGCTATCTGGAGGCCGTGGCCACATGACCCTGGGCCGCGTGCCGGGCCCCCACCACCGGGGTCCTGGGAGGCTGCAGCCGGGCCCCGCCTGCCCTCCTCTCCCGTCTCGCCTGCCCGCAGCACTGCCTTAGCGACAGCCCTGTCCTCGCCCGCACGGCCCGCTGCACTTTCCTCGGCGGCTCCCTGCCCACTCTCCCTGCTCCATCGCCAGGAGCCCTGGGGCCAGGCTGGGCCACCCGCGAGCCGCCCCTCGGGCTCCCCTCAGAGAGCGGCTGGTGTTGAAGGCAGCTCTGGGCAGAGACAGGGCCGGGGGCCCCTCGCCCAGCCTTGGGACCAGGCCCCACTCCTCGGCGGGCTGTGCGGCAGGGCGTGGCTGCCCCAGCCTTTCTGAGCAGCGGACCGAAGGCTGGGGAGCGTCTCCAGCCTCCTGAATGGTTCAGAACACACCCTCTGCCCACCCTGGGCCTTAGAAGGCCCTGCCTGTGTGTCTGCGTCGTCCTCCGTGTAGACCTAGCGCCGGCTCCTCCCCGGCTCACGCTGCGCTGGGGTCCGTGCTGTATAGTTCTCTCTATTATATATGTGTGTGCACTGTCTGGTTAAGAGCAGTGTCCATGTGCGTTTCTGTGGCAGCAGTGCACGTGGGGGGGGTGGGGGGTGCGTACGGTGGGGCTTGTAGGTTAAGATGTCTCCGCGGTGGTGTGTGGGGCTGGAGGCCGAGCCAGGCACGGCAGCCGGCCCTCTCCAGACGTATGGAGGAGTTCTCCCTTTGCCGTTCCAAGGATGCCGCCGCCTCCTGCCGGGGCTCCCGGGGGGCCAGCCAACACTACAAAGGGCAGTGAGTCCTCAGGGCGCCGGGGAGCCCCCACTCCGCTCTCGGGCTCTACTCAGACTAGCGCCAACAGTCTCCGGGGCAGACTCGCATCGGCCGCCCCGGGGCTCGGCCTCCTCCCATAGGCTCCTCTTCCTCTCTTTCATTCATCAAGTCTTCAAACTTTGAAAAAAAAATATGAGCTTTTGCCAAATAAGACGGGATAGTTTATGGAGTTTTCTGAGGCGCATTGGACTCCGGTCAGCCCCTTGAGCGTGGGCTCGGCCGTCGGCAGGCCCGCTGGGTTGGCTGGGCTGACCCTCCCAGGCTGCCTTTCTCTCTGGTCGTGGCCTGGCCCGCCCCGGCCTCCACCGCCACAATTCATGCTGGTGCCGTGCCTGCAGCCCCACTCCTGGTATGCCTGAGATTCTCCCCGGGCCAAGCCGGTCCTCCTTCCCGGCCCACTCTTCCAGGACCAGGACGCTCCTGTGGAGCCAGCCCACCTTGGCTGAGGGTCCCAGGGGCTGGAGGCCTGCCTGGTTAGCCTCCGTTTCCCAGACCTTGACTCGAGGCGCCTCCAGTCCTCCCAAGCCCCTGACTTTCAAGTCCTTTCAAGTCCTTGTGCCCTGACCAAGTTATGAGGAAAAGAGGGCTGAGGGCCTGGAGGTGGACTCGCGCCCTCTCGAACCCACCTAGATGTCTCCTCCTCCCCAGCCTATGAGCTCAGACTTGGGGGGCTCCATCTGTCCCTCCCTGAGGTCCCCAATCTTGTCCCTGCTCTGATTCTGTCAGCAGACCTGAACACTCCTTGGTGGGGACCCTGCCTCCAAGGCTGCCCCCAACCAGCTGTCCTGGGGAAACTCCCCAGAACTCTCGGGGAAGGGCCCGAGAACCTTCCGAGGAAGCCTCCGGGACTCCTCGCCACCTGCTCTGTTTCTCTCCCGGCCCCACTGCCTTCAGGTATCAGGAAGAGGGCAGGCCCCTGTGCCCCCTCTCCCCTTCCCAGGTCGGCCAACAATACTCCACCGTGGGGCGCTTCCTTTCTTCTCTGGAAACTAAGACATTGGACTGAAGGAACTGGCCTGAGGGGGGCTGACCGGGGGCCTGTGCTGCTGGGTGCTCTATGCACAGAGGCCGCCGGGGGTCACGGACAGGAATCTCAGCCCAGGATGCTGGCCTTGCTCCTTCACGAGAGTCCCCCCCAGGATCCACACAGCGACTCGAGCAGCCTTCCGCTCAGCCAGAGGAGGGCCGGGCTCCCCCGCCTGCTGTCAGTGGTGGCGTCTGGCCCTTCCTGCGGTTTCCAAGGCCTCCGGAAGCACCAACCCAGTTCTCAGTTACCTCCTCTGGCCGGAAGGCCTCACGTTGTCCTCCAGAGCTGCTCTGGGCCCAGGGCTGGCTCCGTGACCACCCGATGGACGTGCCGGGCAGCATGGGCTCCAAAAGCAGCATCCCCAGCTGCTCTCCCACCCCACCCCGGCTGCCCGGCAGCTGGGCCCACGAGGGCTCTGGGGACACTTCCATAGGAAGGGGCCCGGCACTTTGTGATTGCCACGTGTTTCGTGTTAAGCCGCCTGCCCCCAGTGCAAATCTCTGTGTTTTGCTCTCTCCTGAACAAAAATGTAAACCGACGCCGGAAAGCAAATGGTATCGAATACCTTTCTTGCCCATAAGGGTTTTTACAAAGAATGTGTCTCACTAGGAACTAGGACACTCATCGGCCCGAGACCAACTCCTGGATAAAAGGAATAAGGAGAATCGTGTTTGTAATGAGTTACAGGATTGTTTCTTTCCTGGATTTTAAACTTTTGTTAAATTGTGAAATTATGGAGGAGTTTTATAGAAAAAAAAGTGAAATAAAGTCAGATGGGAAAGCAGACCCATGCATCTGCCGCGTTCCTCCTGTCGAGTCAGTGGTCAGGCGTGCGAGGTAGCCTGGGGCCCCCTGCCCCGACTGCCTGTCCCGGTGCTCCCAGATCAGTGACCAAGAAGGGGAAGGAGGGTTGGGACCAAGCCTGGTGGGGGCGGGGAGTGTGAACAAGGCTGGAGGCGACGCCACCAGCAATTCAAGGGGGCAGAGAATTTGGCTCGCATCCTGCTTCTGATGCTGTGCTCTCTACTTGGAAGCAGGCAACAAGGTTTGGGTTGAGAAGAAAACTTGGTTTCATAAGGTGTATGGGTGAATGGACGGATGGTTTGATGGATGAGTGGATGATTGGTTGGGTGGACCACGGATGAACAGATGGGTGGGTGGGTGGAAGAAAGGATGGAAGGATGGATGGATTGATGGGTGGATGGAAGGAAGGAAGAAAGGAGAAAAGAAAGGAAGGAAAGAAGAAGAGAGGAAAGGAAGGAGGGAAGAAAGGAAGGAGGGAGGGAAGGAAGGAACGGCAGATGGGTGGATGGATGAAAAGAAGGATGGATGGAAGGATGAATGGATGGATGGATCAATGGGTGGATTAATGGGTGGATGGAAGGAAAGAAGGATGGATGCGTGGATGGATGGGTGGATGGATGGATGGATGGATGGATGGATGGATGGATGGATGAAAGAAAAAGGTACGCAGACATTTTTTCCCAGGAGCCAGCGTGCCATCTCCCAGTTTCCCTATGGTGGGTTTTTCTCTGGCCTCAGTGTGGCAGAGCTCAGTGAACCTCCAGGAGACAAAGCTGTCACTGGCCACATTTGAGCAGATCTGTCCTGTGTGCTCCAGCTCCAGCTCCACCCAGAGGAGCAGGAGTTCCATTCCTGAGCGGCCCACATTGCAGAGTCACTGCGGCAGCCACTGACTGAGATCACCTTTGTCAGCAGGCAGCAGCTGGGGACTCAGCTGGGCTCAGCTTAGCACTGGTGACTCTGGAGCATGTCTTCTCCTTTCTACTCTGGAACCAAAAAATCCATTCCCAGCATCAGAGTGTGGCTTTCCCTGCCCTGTGCCTTACCAGAGAAAGGTTCTTTTGAGCCTTCGGGGTATGGTTTTGGGTCTGAGCTCCTAAAGTAGGAATATGGAGTGAAAGAGGGTCTATGGTGGTTCCTTCAGGGTTCCCAGACGCTCCAAGATGCAGCGGAAGGACTACGGATGTGTAAAAATGTGGTAGGGCTTTCTGGCCAGGCACGGTGGCTCATACCTATAATCCCAGCACTTTGGGAGGCCGAGGCGGGCGGATCATTTGAGTCCAGGAGTCCAAGACCAGCCTGGGCAACATGGCGAAACCCTGTCTCTACTAAAATTACAAAAGTTAGCCTGACGTAGTGGTGCATACCTGTAGTCCCAGCTACTTGGGAGGCTGAATCACAAGAATTGCTTGAACCCGGGAGGCAGAGGTTGCAGTGAGCCAAGATTGCACCACTGCACTCCAGCCTGGGTGACAGGAGAGAACCTGTCTCAAAAAAAAAAAAAAAAAGGCTAGAGGTGGCTCACACCTCTAATCCCAGCACTTTGGGAGGCTGAGGCGGGTGGATCACCTGAAGTCAGGAGTTTGAGACCAGGCTGACCAACATGGTGAAGCCTGTCTCTACTAAAAATACAAAAAATTAGCTGGGCATGGTGGCAGGCGCCTGTAATCCCAGCTGCTCGGGAGGCTGAGGCAGAGAAATCGCTTGAACCTGGGAAGCAGAGCTTGCAGTGAGCCAAGATCTCACCACTGCACTCCAGCCTGGGCAACAAGAGCGAAACTCCAACTCAAAAAAAAAAAATCCCTAAAAGTTCTCTCATGGACTCTTCATAAGCACTCCATGAGGCAGGCACTGCTTCATCCCTGTCTACAGAAAAAGAAACAGCCTCAGCAAGCCGACTCGCCCAGGATTCTTTTTTATTTATTTTTATTTTTTTGAGACGGAGTCTCGCGTTGTCACCCAGGCTGGAGTGTAGCGATGCGAGCTCAGCTGACCACAACTTCCGCCTCCCAGGTTCAATCCATTCTCCTGCCTCAGCCTCCCGAGTAGCTGGGATTACAGGCGCCTGCCACCACGCCCAGGTAATTTTTGTATTTTGGTTAGAGACGGGGTTTCACCATCTTGGTCAGCTGGTCTTGAACTCCTGACCTCGTGATCCACCCACCTTGGCCTCCCAAGTGTTGGGATTACAGGCATAAGCCACCGTGCCTCATTCTTTTTCTTTTTTATTTATTTACTTATTATTACTATTTTTTGAAATGGAGTCTCACTCTCACCCAGGCTGGTCTGGAACTCCTAACCTCAAGTGATCCATTATCAAGTTATCAAGTTTTCCTTGAAATGGCTTTTGGGCTGTTATTGTTTAGGATGTTTTTCTTTTAGGTTCTCCCTTGATTTCTCCTAAGAATTCAATTCTTCCCCCTTTTCCTGCCTCCCTTCCCTCTTTCTTTCTCACATTTCAATCTGTTGCATCTGGAATTTATTTAGCCGTGAGGGAGGGCCCCAACTCTATTTCCCCAATAGCTATGCAAGGCGATCCACCCCATTTATTGAATAACCTGTCTTTCCTTCACTTATTTGAGATGCCATCTTTGGTTGTATTTTTCAATTCCTGCATACGTTTGTGTCTCTCCCTGGCTTCCCTCATATGCACAGTACTCACCTTTGCATTTCTGCCACTGTGTGACCTAATTAATATCTAGTAGTGCAGCCGGATGCAGTGGCTCACGCCTGTAATCCCAGCACTTTGGGAGGCCGAGGTGGGTGGATCACCTGAGGTCGGGAATTCGAGACCGGCCTGACCAACATGGAGAAACCCCGTCTCTACTAAAAATACAGAATTACTGGGTGTGGTGGTGCATGCTTGTAATCCCAGCTACTCATGAGGCTGAGGTAGGAGAATCGCTTGAACCCGGGAGGTGGAGGTTGCG